AAGGGGGCCACCCGGCGGAGGGATAATTAATTGACGACTGACTCGCCATCGCTCGGACGTCCATTCCCTGTGCTTTTTTTTCGGTGTCGTGCGTGGCTGTTTCGCAGGACGATCCAGGATGCTCCTCAGTAGCCCCCGCCGAGAAAAAGTGCACTCGTCCGAGCGATGCCAGCCCCCGGGATCTGCAGCAGCCGCTCCAGCCTGGGGAGACCAAGAGGAGGCGATGCCGCTGCTCCACGGACCTCTCCCCGGGTGTGCGTGGAGCAGCGGCGTCGGCTCCTCTTGGCGAATCCTGCTGTGGCGGCGAGGGTCCTGCCTTCACGACCTACTCCTCCCCTCTCATCATGTCTCCTTCCCCTTCCTCCTTCCCCTCCGCCACCTCCTCCTCCTCCTCCTCCTCCTGTTCTCCCTAACCCTCCTCCTCCTCCTCCTCCTCCTCCTCCTCCTCCTCCTCCTCCTCCTCCTCCTCCTCCTCATGGTCGTTATCATCAGAATCAGAATCAGAATCAGAATCAGAATCATAATCAGAATCATCATCATCATCATCATCATCACCACCATCATCATCACCATCACCATCACCATCACCATCATCATCATCATCATCATCATCATCATCATAATCCTCATCATCAGCAGCAACATCATCATCAACATCATCGTCATCATCACCATAGTCATCATCATCTTCATCATCGTCACCATCACCACCACCATGATCATCAACATCATTATCATCACCAACATCATCGTCATCAACACCGTGAGTATTGTCATTATGACTTCTGTTGTTATTCATGTAATTACCATTGCCATCATCATCACCATCATCATTACCAGCATCACCAGCATCATCATCAGCAGCAACCTCATCATTCCAATCATCATGAGCATCATCATCAACATCGTCGTCATCATCATCAGCATCAGCATCATCGCCACCACCAGTATCATCATCATCATCATCAACATCATCATCATCACCAGTCTCATCATAGAGTTCATCACGATCCTCACCAATATCATGATCATCAGCATCATGCTCATGATGATGACCATCATTATCATCGCCATCGCCTTCATCGCCACGTTCAGCTTCATCGCCATATCCATCATTACAATCATCATCATCATCATCAGCATCAGCATCATCATCATCATCATCATCATCATCATCAAAATCGTCATCATCATCATCATCATCATGATCATCATCATCATCATCATCATCATCATCATCATCAGCATCAACATCCGCATCAGCATCAACATCATTCCTCCACGGCGTCATCCTCGTCCTCCTCCTCCTCCTCCTCATCCTCCAGGAGGCCCAAAAAAACCGGAAACAAGGGAAGGGTGGCGGTATCGATACCTTTTCCTCCTCCGACAGCCGCTGGCCGCGCAACGCCCCCTTCGAGTACGCCATGGCCTGCCCGCTGAGGAAACGGGCGAGCCGCTGCTGGGCAACCCCCCCGGGATGGAATTTCTGGCCCGCGGGCTGCTGCTTCGGCAGGCTCCCGTGGTGCTCCACCCACGCCGCCAGGGCGCTCGCGCTCCTGTCGAAGGAGGCGCTCAGGGCTCCTGGGAGAACCAAACGGCCCAGATCGCCAACGTAGAAGCGTCGATGTTTCGGCGCCATCGGAGTGTATTCGCCGTTGGCGGCGTGTGCTCTGGGGGCCCGTGTTGAAAAAACAGAACATCGGAAGTCTGAGGATACTTTGGAGTCCCGAAACGGTGCGGTGACAGACCGTGCGGTGACCTCGGAACCCCAGGAAACCTCACCGCACGGTCCGTCACCGCACGGTCTTGGGACCCCAAAGGACCCTGTCGCCTGAAACGTCCTCGGAAAAGGCCTCGAGGCCTGTGGTCTTCTCCGAGGCCTCGAGAAGGCCTCGGAGAAGACCACACCGTGCGGTGACCCCGAGTCCCCACCTACTCCCCGCACGGTGTGGTCACCACCCCGTCTGGAGCCCCCGAGATGCCGACGCCGCTACTCCCCGGCCCCGGACCTCACCTGGGGTGCGCTCTGACCAAGAGCCTCGAGGCGAGTCTGGCCGTGGCCGCGGGGGCCTCCCAGAAGAGACCCACGGCGGCGAAACGGAGGGACGGCCCGCGCTCTGGATCCACTCCCTGGGCTGGCCATCGCTCGGACGTCCATGCCCTGTGCTCTGTTTGGTTTCGTGCCTGCCTGGTTTTTTCGCCAAAGGATCCAGGATGGTCGTCGACGGTCCTCGCCGAGAAAAAATGCACACGTCCGAGCGATGCCAAGTGGAACCATCTTTCATTCCGAATAGTATGTTGACGGCCCCGAGGCCCCGGAAGGGGCCCCAGGATGCCCGAAGACAGAAAAAACAGCTCGCAGCAGTACTATTGTCATGACCCACAGGGGTGTGGAGTGCCTCCCCTGTGAAGCGGAGACACACCGTCCTGGCATTCCTATTGGCCGACCACGTTCCGGCGCCGGCCGGCGCCGGAAAATTGAATTCCGAGGCGGTGCCGAAAAAAGGCCACTCCAAGACATATTTTTCTTTCGAAAATATTGATTTTCTGCTCCCGGCGCCCGGGAACCCCTTCCGGGCCGCTTCCGGCACGGCATGTACGTAGAAGAGACGGCGTCCGAGCGATACCAAGTGTGTTTTCGTGTCTCCTTCGATGACCCCGAGCTCCCCCTGCCGCCTCGCCCGCGGCCGGCTCGCTCTCGCCGCGCGCCGGCAAAGGCTCGCGGCTGGGCGGCGCGACGGCGCCGCCGCCCGCCGCGGGCTCGCCGCCGCCGCCCGCCACGGCCGCGGCCGCGGGCCGCTCGGCAGGCGGCGCGTCCGCGGAGGCGCCTGCCAGCGCGAGGAAGGTCACGAGCCAACGGGGGATGGGCGAGGTCGAGGCGTGAGCGAGATGGTGGTAAGAGTCTGTTGGGACGATTCCGCTTCTCTTCATCCCCAATGGATGTGGTTTAGTACCAGTCAACTGGGACAGCCGAGCGAGGAGGGTCACGAGCTAACGGGGGATGTGGCGAAGGGCCAGAGGGACGACGACGAGGGGAGCTGGGGCTAGGACCAGAGGGGGAGGCTGGGTCCAGGGCCAGGACCAGGGGGGCGACGACGACCGCAAAAAAAGGGTCCGGGGCGAGGGGGGTTGGGCCAGGGGAGGAGGCTGGGTCCAGGGCCAGGGCCAGCGGGGCGACGACGAACGAAAACGAGTGGCACGCGCGCCCTGGCTCTTGCACGTTTGAAGAGAGAAGGAGGAGGAGGAGGCGCAGGTGGGGGGGGATCGAGGAGACGAGGACGAGGGGCAGGTGGGGCCGCGGCGCCCCGGTGGTTGTCGATGGGGATCTGCCCGATTGAGTTTTTTGGACAGCTGAGGCAAGGTCGATTTTTCGATGGCGTCGCAGGGTGCTCTGCGAGGCCTCGAGAGGCTGACTTCGGGCCCGGGGGCCACGGAGGAAAAACGCAAAACACGAACGAGGGAAGGGGCCAAGAGGTCTGGGGCCGGTCGCAGCGGTCGACGGCGCCTGGGCCAGGACCAGGGGCACGACGACGAGGGGGACTGGGGCCAGCACCAGAGGGGGGAGGCTGGGTTCAGGGCCAGGGCCAGGGGGACGGCGACGAGCGAAAATGCTCACAGGGTCCCGAGCGAGGGGTCTGGGGCCAGGGCCAGGAGGGGAGGCTGGGTCCAAGGAGGGGAGGCTGGGTCCAGGGCCAGGGCCAGCGGGGCATAGGGGGTGCACCGTGAGGGTCCAGAGACGGGGGGGCCGCGGCCAGGGCAAAGGGGGGGGGAGGGGGGGTCCGGAGCCACGGCGAGCGGGGCGAGGGTGGCCGGGGCCAGGACAAGAGGGGGGAGGGAGGTTGGGTCCAGGGCCAGGACCAGGGGGACGACGACGAGCGAAAAACAGGTGGCGCGCGTGCCCTGGCCCTTGCACCGAGGAGCTGCTAGAGACAGGAGGCTCTCGCCTCCTTCCTCCAGGAGTGTACTTTTGCGGCTGCGGGGGGGGGGGGGGGGGCGAACGACGAACGAACGAACGACGACGACGAACGAAAATAAAGAGGTCCGAGCTCTAGAGCACAGCTGTGCAAGAGAATAAAGGGTCTGGCAGGGGGGGAGGCTGGGTCCAGGGCCAAGACCAGCGGGGCGGGGGGGCTGGGGCCAGGACCAGGGGGGGAGGCTAGGTCCAGAGCCAGGACCAGGGGGACGACGACGGGCGAAAATAAAGAGTCCCGGTGCGAGGGAGGTTGGGGCCAGGGCCAGGGGAGGAGGCTGGGTCCAGGGCCAGGACCAGAGGGACGACGACGAGCGAAAATAAAGGGTCCTGGGGCGAGGGGAGCTGGGGCCAGGGCCAAGGGATGAGGCTGGGTCCAGGGCCAGGACCAGGGGGACGACGAGGGGGGCTGGGGTTAGGACCGGGGGGGGAGGCTGTGTCCAGGGCCAGGACCAGGGGGACGACGACGAACAAAAATAAAGGGTCCGGGGCGACGAGGGCTGGGGCCAGGGCGTCCAGGGCCAGAACCAGGGCCAGGACCAGGGGGGAGTGGGTCCAGGGCCAGGACCACTGGAACGACGACGAACGAAAATAAGGAGGTCCGAGCTCTAGAACACATCTGTGCAAGCGAAGAAAGAGGTCCGAGCTCTTGAACACAACTGCGCAAGATAATAACTTTCCGAATGTGAGCCTCCGTCGCAATTCGCCTGGCCACGTCTTCCCAAGCTGGTCTCCTATCACAGGCTTCGTGGAGCATTCGAGCGGACCAGCAATTTGGCGCCAGCCCCGGGATATACGAGGGGGGGGGCGTCCATCGTCGATGCGGGTGTGTCCGAATTTCGGGGCTGGACAGAACCCCCAACAGTGACACGTCGATTAGTGAATTGTCCGTTTTCGGTTCTCGAGAGGGCGCCGCGGCCGTTATTTTCCAGGCTTGCGCCCGCCAGGTTTGGGCCCGAGGTCGTTTTCACTAAACCACGTTTTACTAAAGGGAGGTCTGTCCATCCCCGACCCATGGTGGGAGCGTATCCCAAGGTTTCCCCATGTTTCTGATAGGCCCAACTTTTCTTGCGAAACTCAAGGCTCGGGTAGAAACATCGCCTGCGAGCGAAACCATCCCTGAGTTTTTTGGAAGTAGACTCAAGCAGATTCACTGGCATGGCACTTCCCCCCACCCCGCTCTCCCTCTCCGCCGTCTCTGCAAGCAATCCGGGGCCAGAAAGGTGCGCAAGTGAGACCCAGCTTGCGTGAAGTCCAGATTCCCTTTCGGGCCTCGCCACGAAACCCCCCTCCCCCCTCCCCCATGCGAGTAAACTTGCCAGACTCTACAGAAAAACTGCCTCTATCCACGTCCTCGCGGTCTCGCGGTCTGGACTTCACCGAGGTCCGAAATGCTGGGTTCGGGGAGGTCCTTCCCCCCTTCGGCCTCTGGGGGCTGCTTTGCGGGGGACGGGGACCCGTCAGAAACGGATCTGGGGTGACAACTGCATGAGATGGACCCGTGAGAAGGGGTCCAGGGACCGACTGGGAGGGGCTTGTTGCGAACGGCAGCTCTTGTTCATGTTGAACTGGGCTCACGAGCGGCGAGCACATCTGGAGGGGGGCCTGAGACACACAAATGACTGCACACAAACAAAAGGGTTCCCCATCTTTTCCTATATTTTCTAGGTTTTTGTCTTCCCCCCCACTTCCTCTTTTTTTTCCTCTATTTTTCCTGGAAGTCGACGATTCATTGTGTCTGTGTGTTTTTTCCTCTCCTGAATATCCATATCCGCGCCAACGCGGTTTGGATTCCAAGGGCGCGATCCTGCGGATGCGCGGTCGGACGGACACGTTCCGCGCGGGGCAGTCACGAACAAAAACGCCGCGTACCCGCGGGGCCGCGGCCCAAGGGCCCAGCCCGCGAGGCCACGGATGCCGATGTTAACCAGCCTCGAACTTATCCCTATCCCTAAGATGGGCGAGCAAAAAACGAGGACACTCTTAGGGATAGGCCCTCAGAAACTGAGGGAATCCTTAAGATCGGCATCGAGGTGAGGTGCTGTCAAACATAGGGATAGGGATGTGTTTCAAACTGGTAAGATGTGTGTTTCGCCCACGGGGGTAACCCCCACAGGTGGACGTAAACTACCTCGATACCCTCGGGCAGTTACTTTGGGAGGCAACTCCTGGGAGATCTTCGAAGGAACGATTAAGGCCCCACTGAGCCCGATGAAGGAATCATGACGCCAGACTGCGCTCAAGACTAGCCCAAGTTGAGCGGGAATAAGCCAAATTGAGCGGGATTACGCTGGATTGCGCCAGGTTGGCCAGGATTAAGCTGGATTGCACAGTTCTTCGACCACGGATAAACAAGCACCGATGCTGAATGCAGTGGAGGCCAGTCCACACGAAACCTTCCACAAGAAACCCAACCCTGAGACCTCAGGACGTCCATCGGTTTTTGGTGCGGGAAGGTCACGCTTTCCGTAGCAAAAGCATCGAAACCCAAGAAACTCAGGGCACCCTGGATCGGGGATGGACAGAACCCCCTTTCGTAAAACGTGGTTTAGTGAAAACGACCTGAGGCCCAAACCTGGCGGGCGCAAGCCTGGAAAATAACGGCCGCGGCGCCATCTCGAGAACCGAAAACGGACAATTCACTAATCGACGTGTCACTGTTGGGGGTTCTGTCCGCCCCCGACTGGGGGCAAGCAGGGTGTTTTTCTTGGCTTGGGTCCCCGCTGCAGAACTCCCAGGAGCTGCATCCTCAGGCAACTCTCGGCCCACGAGGGCCCCTGCTGGTGGAGCAACTGCTCGGGAGGAAGCGTCGGCCCAAGGTCGGGGAGACGTAAGACCCGGGTACGGGGGACTCGGGTTGGCCCGACGAGGTCGTCAAAAAAATGACGAGGCCGAGCCTGCATTTTGACGAGGCCTCCCGCTGCAGACATCCCACGAAACTCCTCCTCGTCAAAATCCGAGGCGCGGTCGTCAAAAAACGATGGCGAACCCGAGTCCTGGCAAACCCGGGTCTTACGCTCCCCCGACAGGGGAGTGGTCCCAAACCTCTGGGGGCCCACGCCGTCGAGAGAAAGAAGTGGCGTCGGGGGGCCTCCGTATACTACACCTGCGGCAGGCTCGCGCCGCAAAGACGCCGGCGCGGCCACTTCTGACGCTTCTGACGCCCCAGAGATCCTCCGGCAGCTCACGTTTTCTCGATGCAGAACAGGGCCAGGATCGGGATAAATCGCTCCAGAGCGTTCCGGAGCGCTCTCAGAGCGTTCCGGAACGCTCTGGAGCGGCCGCGGCGCCCAATACATCCTCCAAACCCGCCGATTCTCAGAGATGTCGAGCTATCCCGATCCGACTTTGTCCCGATCCTCGCGTCGTTTTCAGAGATCCTCCGGCTGCTCACGTTTTCTCGATGCGTGGGCCCCGGAGGTCCGGACCAAGGGCCGGCTTGTCGTCCCGAATCATTGTCTGCCGCTTCCGATTGGGCGTGGCTTAATGGGGGGGTCACAAATGGGGGGGTCAGAAAAGGTCCCCTTTCGTGCCCCTTTCGGGCCCCTCTGGAGCCCCAGGGGGCTCGTTTAGGTACCGTTTGGGTACCTTTTCGGACCACCCTCGCCACACCCCATTTATGACCCCCCCATTACGCAGCGCCCAATCCGAGGCCCGGCGCGCGCCTCCGGGGGCTGGCAAGGGCCGCAGACCGCCTGCCCCCAGGTTTTTGTCGGCGCGTCGGATCTCTGGGGCTGCAACCTCTGAGCGGTCGAGACGTTCCAGAG